CTGAGGGTTGCGATCCATTGCCGGACACGAAAAAAGACAAAAAGGAAAAAAAAAAAATGAAGGTGGAATAAAGACATTCCCAGATAAACAAGAACCGAGATAATTGCTAGCAGATCTGTCTTATAAGAAATATTAAAGGTAGTCCTCTGGCTGAAAGGAAATAACACCAGACAGTAACTCAAATCCACAGAAAGAAATGAAGAGTGCTAGGAATGGTAAATATGTGGCTAAATACAAAAGAAAAGACTACATACATATTTTTTTCTTTTCTTTTTAAAATTTCTTTTTAAAAAACATATAAGATTGTTTAAAGCAATAATTACACCACTGAATTGTTGTGCTTATAATAAATGCAGATGTAATGTACATGACAAAAAATAGAAGAAATAGAGCTATATTGGAGCAAAATTGCTATATTTTACTGGAAGTAAGTTAGTATTAACCTGACACAGATTGTGATTAAGTTGTATATTGTAATCACTAGAGCAACTACTAAAAATGGTTAAATGTACACTAAAAGTATTTGTTTAACACAAAAGAAGGCAGTAAGATGAGACAGAGAAACAAACAAACAAAAAAAGATACTTAGAAAACAAACAGCAAGGGGCAGTCATAAATCCAAGAAAGCCTGAATGTATGCCTGACGTGAGAGAAGAATTGGGTCAACACCACCATCTGAAAAGATCCATTGAAAATAGGCCTTTGTCACCAAAAGCAGCTTTTCTGACTTTTAAAAGTCAACACTCATACAAAAAGAGGGACCTGGCAGTGGGTGAATTGGGGCAGCTTTGTCCTGGGCATCTGACTCTGTCAAAGGTCCTGAGGATGAGGAAGGGAGCTCATGAGATCAAGCCCCATCATCACAAAGGATGTGACTGTAGCTGACACTACCCAAAACATGTGCACGGGGAATTTTTTAGTTGTGACTTTTGGCCACTTCTCAGGGTATCACCAGTCACTGAGAAGCTTCTTTCCACACAAGCTGCCAAAATGTTTCAGATAGTGTCTTCCTCGAAGAGACTGATGAGCGCAAGGAGTTGATAGCAAAGAAGAGCCAGATTGTCCCTCCCTGGTCCCCCCAGCACAACCAGGGGACGGGCTGCCCCGTCCTTGCTCTCCAGGCTGCGCCCAGTCAGCTGAAACACCCAACATCTGGGTAGCAGAGACGGTGCCGAGGCCTCTTCTCCACTCACGCTGACTGCTTTGTGTTTCTCCTACAGACCAAGAATTATGCTGAAAACACTTATTACAGCAACTTCATTTCTCATTTGGCCAACATCAAGTACGCAGGTAAGGGCAGGCAATGGCAGGTGCAGGAGGGAAGAGGGATGTGCGGGAGTCAAGGTGGGGGCAGGAGGCAGGGGAAGAGTGACTCTGGCAGGGTGGGTAGCCCACCCCTGCCTGCACGAGGTCACTTGCTTCTCAGGTCACCTCTGAGAAACCTGTTTATAGACTCTGCTGGTTGTTTCCCGTGATTGGAACTTCAGGATGGCTGGAGTTCCTATCTAGGAATATCCTCACTTAGTGACTTTCACCTCTGGCCCCAGTGGGCAGTGACAATCGTCGTCACTAGAGAGAGGTGTTCACCCTGGCTCCAAGCTGAGATGAACGTCCAGAGTGAAGCCCTCATCTTCCCGCCTGGACATACGGACCCTTGGGGCTGGTTTTTCGTCCCCTTTGCCTTCAGAAGGCAGAGTTCTTGTCAGAGCAATCGCCCACTCCCACGGTCAGCCCCTGACCTTGAGCTGTGACTGCATCAGCTCTGAAGGCTCGATTTTGTATATCCCACTCCGGGCACACCCGCCAGCCTCCCAGCTCACTGACTTCAGCACTCACCCTCTCCAGCAACTCATCTGACGGAGTCCTCCAACCCACGGGCCTCCACGGTCTCACTGCTGGTCACGCCTCGTGTCCTTTCATCTCTCTTTACTTAGCTTAGATTGCACGGGCCGTCCCAGGCGCACACCTTCAACGTCCTGCCCTGCGCGTCTCCACAAACTCACCTGGCACAGTCCCAGACCAGCTCTCACCTACTGAGTCTGTAGCCAAATAGCTGAATGAGGTTGGATAGAAACCCACAGACATCTAACTGGCATTATATTTGTTCATAACTGCAAATATAAATAGGCACTAACACTGCCCAGAAATCCTAAAATACTACTCTGGGCATTTTCTTTCTCCATCTCCAAAATGATCCCTCCCCGCACTTGCCCTCCCTCTGAAGCCCCCCGCACCCTGCTCCAGCTCCTCCCACCTTCACTCCCCACTCCATGGAGAAGGTGGAAGGGATCGGTTGGAAACTCGCTCTTCTTCCTAACCCACCTGCGTCTGGACCAGACTCTGTGTTACAATGGATGAAAAAGTCCCTGGTCTCGTCACAGGCCACCCCTTCCACGTGAGCCCGACCCCAGCCTCTCTCGTGCTATCCCCTCCCCTCTCTCCTGCATCACTAACCTCTTACTCTTCATCGGGTCACTCAGCTGGGCACACAGACCTGTGCCTGACTAGCGCCCACCTCCGATGACAAACAGAAGTATCTCTTGACCTCACCGTTCCCCCAGCGTCCACCCCATTTTTCGGTTCCCCTGGAAAGAGTGGTCTAATAGTCCTGTTCTCCTTTCTCACCCACCTCACCCTAAGCTGGCCCCGCTACTCCACCAAGCCAGTCAAGGTCATCCCTGTTGTCACATCTACTGGCCACTTCTCTTGTCTTGGTTGCTCTAGAAACCATGGTCCATTCCACCCCAGCCGGCATCCCTGCGGCACCCCCACAGCCTCTCCAGCTGTGCCCTGTTGCTTGACTCCTGCTCAGAATGTCGAAGGGCTCCACAATTCTTTTCTCAGTGACCTCATGCAGTGAATGGCCTGAATTGCTATCTCTAGGCTGTGGGCTCCAAAAAACTTTATCTCACCCTCTGTGCAGTGACGGCAGCAGGCAGGACAGGTGAGACACAGTGGACCCAAGAACCATCTGGCTAATTTACTGACCATAAACAAAGCCAGCAGGAGAAACCACGGACCAGCTGTCACTGCCTGCTGGGGCCAGAGGTGAAAGTCACTCAAGTAGGGATATCCCTAGTTAGCAGAACTCCAGCCATCCAGAAGTTTCAATCATGCAAACCCTGGAGTTTCCTTGAACTCACCTCAGATATTCTATTTCTCCAAACTGACCCAGTACGTTTCCTCTTTCAAGTCAATAAATTCTGCTTCTGATCAGTACTGCCCACGACACTAGCCTCTCTCTGAACTCCAGATTCCCTTATTCAACTGTTTACTTGTTACTGCCCTGTGGATCTAAAAGGTAAGCTAGCCAAAGCACGACTGTACTCCCACTGCCTTCTGGGCATTCCCTATACTGACTCTCTTTGCTTATTTCACATCTCAGCAAAGAATGTCACACATCCCATTGTTTAAGACAAGCATCGTGGAATCATCCTCAATTTTTCTCTTTCCATCACCGCCCCCCTCAAATGTCCAAACCATCCAGGTGTCCTGTTGTTTTTAACTCCAAAACATTACACATCACCTTATGTTAATTTTCTGCTCAGTACTTATCACTGTCCACATTTTATTTATTTATTTATTTTCCTTTTTTTGTCTTTTTTACTGACCGGCAACGGGATCGCAACCCTCGGTGTTGCGCCCGCACCTCGCTCAGCCAGTGAGCGGGAACCAGTCTGTATGTGGGATCCAAACCCTCAGCAGGAGCGCCGCCACGCTCCCAAGCGGTGCACTCTCCAGTGCGCCACCGGGCCGGCCCCACATTTTATTTACTTACCAGTTTATTACATGTCTCCCATTACTAGAACACAAGTGGGCGAGGACTCTGCCTTGTTAATTGTCGTGTTCCCAGCATTAGTAACATACCTGGCACATGGCTGGCATGAAGCATGTGTCAAATACACGATAGGAGCTAGTCTATGTCAGCAGAACACCCACAAGATACCTTTAGCAACCCAAAAGTTCCTTAATTATGAATGACCTCTTCCTAAATTTGGATTTGCCAGCCTTAGGTATGTTCGGCACTAGAAGATCTCCAATTATCTAAACTTACAGAGGGTTCAAAAATTCTTTTTAAAAAATTGTGGTAAAATTATATAGTTATCATGGGTCAATTAAGAAAAACAAAGAGAGAGAGAGAAAAAAAGAGAGAAATAGGGAATAGAATAGTGGCTACCAGAGGCAGGGAAACGGGAGGAGGGAAGCAGAGAAACGTTGTTAGACCTGGTCAGTTACAAGGCCAGCTAGTTAGGAAGAATAAATTCTGGTGCTCTAGGGTGACTATAGCTAATAATATTATATTGTATATTTGAAGATAGCCAGAAAAAAGGATCTTGAATGTTATGACCACAAAGAAATGTTAAATGTTTAGGTGATAGATATGCTAATATTCTGATTGGATCATTATACGATCTATGCATGTACTGAAACAACAAACTCTACCCCATAAACATGTACAATAAAAAAAACAAGTAAAATCCCAAAAAACAAAACAAATAATCTGTAATTCTGCATACAGGTTTTTTCCCCGAGTGTCTCATTCCTGTCCTATTTATTCACTTATTTATTTTTGTGGCTGGCCGGAGTGGGGATCTGAACCCTTGACCTTGGTGTTATAACACCGAACTCTAACCAACTGAGCTAACTGGCCAGCCCACATTTGTCCTTTTCTGTCTGGCTTATTTCACTTAGCGTGATGTCTTCAATGTTCATCCATGTCATAGCCTGTTTCAGAATTTCATTCCTTTTTAGTGCTGAATAATATTCCGTCGTGTGTATATGGCACATTTTGTTTCTCTCTTCATCCACTGGCAGACATCTGGGTTATTTCCATCTTTTGGCTGCTGTGAATAATGTTGCTATGAACGTGGGTGTACAAATATGTGCTCAAATCCTTGCTTCAATCCTTTTTTTGCCAGCTGGCTGGTACAGGGATTGAACCCTGGACCTTGGTGTGATCAGCTTCACACTCTAACCAGTGAGCTAACTGGCCAGCCCCTGCTTTTCAGTCCTTTTTGGCATATACCCAGAAGTGGAATTGCTGGATCATATGGTAATCTATGTTTCATTTTTTGAGGAACCACCATACTATTTTTTATAGTGGTTACACCATGATTCTGGAATTCTGGACCTTCACTGAAATATATTAGAGTTATAAAAATAAATCTACACTATAGAGCTGCTTGGGAGGTTATATCTTGAAATTTTCCAATAATAATAAAACTTGGAAAATCTTTTGCCTGCTCCTGGGATTATGCACTGCTAGACTTCGTGGCCTTGGTTGAACAAGCCTGTGTATATAGATTTCAAAAGTGTATTCTTGTTGCCTTTAAAAAGTACAAAAGTGCTCAGGGAAGCAAACTCCACAGAACTCAGCTCCATGTTGCGCTAGTCTCGTGCTGAGCTCTGACGTGAACAGAGCAAGTGGCTCTCTAGCAGTGGTGCGGCTGCTGTGGGAGCGTCAGACACCCTGCGTGCGCTCCCTCCCTGTACCCCATCTGTGGCTGGGTTTGGTTCCCTCGGGGAGTGGCAGGGGGAGCTCGGGACCGCGTGCTGACACGTGCATCCCAGCTGTGTTCTGATTCTGCTCTATCCACCCACTTCTAAATAAGCCCAAACCAAGGGATTGTGTTTTTCCTTTGAGGGCACTTACCAAGAAGCTTCCAGAGGTCGTAAGTCTTTTCTTTCATTGATTATAAAATGTACCCTCTGCCTAACAGTGACGACGACGATGCTGATGGCAGTTATAATTAGAAGTACTTCCTTACATGCGGGTTCAATGCCAGCCACTTCATAAACATTATTTCCTTTACCCTCACAGCAATCCTATTGAGTGTCCCCTTATTACAGATGAGGAAACAGCCTTAGAGTGAGACTCGGTTGAGGCCACTCAGCCAGAGGAGGTATCTGAGTGTGTCTGTCCCCAAAGTCTCTGCTCTTAACCCTTTCCAGGAAGCAGTAAACTGGGGAAATTATTCCCAATGATAAGGTGATTTGAAGGTGGTGACATCTGAGCCTCGGCAGTGGCGGTCTCTGACATTCCTTTATCTCCTGTTTTGTCGGTTAGGACAAAGCACAGATCTGACTGACCTTGACATTCAGGACATGCTGCCTGAGGACCTCCACCACTACTACAGCTACCAGGGTTCACTCACCACTCCTCCCTGTACCGAGAACGTCCGGTGGTTTGTGCTGGCAGATTCCGTCAAGCTCTCCAAGTCGCAGGTAAAGCATGCCATTGCTTTGCCCAAGTCTCCCCTTTCGACTGCCTGGTTAATGTGTGTCCCCAGAATCTCACCTAAGGTCTCACCTTGGACACTTGCCATGTACAGGGCTACTGTGCCTCACCCGTATTTACGTGGCTGGTTTCATTAGTGCTGTGGCAGAGATGGACAAACAGGCGTCAGAGAGTCCAAGAAACTTACAGTTGATGCAGCAAAAGGACTGGAGCCTGATCCAAGTCATAGGAGAAGATCTGCACGGCACAGGCAAACACTGTTGAGTGCCGTTCTTGCCAGGCACTGTTCTAGGTTCTTGATGTACTAAATCCCTGTCCTCAGCTTACATTTTAACCTTTCAAATGGCTTTATGCAAGAAGGATAGCTTCATAGTTAACTCTTTGTCATATTAAAATGCCTGGAGCCCTTTGAGGATGCCCAGTAAATGTTTGTTGCATCGAACAAATGTTACTGAGGCTGTAAGGCAAAGCTGATATTTTCTTCTGAGTGATATTCTTTTTTTTTTTTCCCCCTTTTTGTCTTTTTTCGTGACCAGCAACGGGTCACAACCCTCAGTGCCGCGCCCGCACCGGACTGGGACCGGCAACGGGATCGCAACCCTCGGTGTCGCTCCCACACCTCGCTCAGCCAGTGAGCGGCCGGTCTGTATGTGGGATCCGAACCCTCAGCGGGAGCACCACCACGCTTCCCAAGCGGTGCACTGTAGCAGTGCGCCACCGGGCCGGCCCCTGAGTGATATTCTTCCACAGAAACAAATATTTCTTTTTGTTAAGCTTTTTATTCCCTAACTCCAGGAAAACTTAAAAAGAACCCTACTCAAGGAAACCCACACACGAAAGTGTTGCTAACCAGGCTGGAAATGCCCCAGATACCAAAAAAAGCAAATATAACCTATCTCTGGAAAAAATACACCTTAACTCAAGATGCAGAAGAATTTCCACCAATAAAGTTACCTGAAATTAGCTCAATTAGAAAAAAAAAATCACAAAACAGATGAGGAAAAAGACACTATGAGAGAGAGCCAGTGGAATCTGACCTACAAAGATTACAGATCATGGAATTACCAGGTAATTAATATAACATAAGAAGGCTTAATATGTATAAAGAAATAAGAGGTTTAAACATGAGGAAAGAACCAAAATATGTAAAAATGACTAACCTCACTTGAAAAAAAAAGCCCAAATAGAATTTCTAGAAAATTTCCTAGAATGCAGCATAAAGAGAAAAACCAATAGAAATATAAAAAAGAAGTAAAGAAACTAGTATAGTGGAAAGGTCTAACAAATGTCTAACTGAAATTCTAGAAGGAGAAGAGAGGCAGAAAAGGCAAGAGGCACAATTTGAGGAAATATTGGCCAACAATTTTCTAGAAGAGTGGAAAGACACCAAGTCATATATTAAAGAATCCTCATCAGTCAATGTTTTTTTTTGTCTTTTTTCGTGACCGGTAAGGGGATCGCAACCTTTGGTGTGGGGTCGCCCACACCACGCTCAGCCAGTGAGCGCACCGGCCATTCCTATATAGGATCCGAACCC